ATGAGGCTCACCTGAATGACGGCGCCTCTGGCACCGCCCCTGGAACGTTCCGCGCGCCAAAGGGCGCCCGCGCACCAGAGGGAGGAGCGTTCAGCGCCGATCCCGAAAACAGTTGTTTCTTGTTCTGTTGGCTCTTCCTCAACAAACGTTGACGTCGTCAGACAAGCGTCGCCGTAATTCGAAGAAGACAGAATGACCACTGGCATCCAAAGTCACGAAAAATCCCACATCGCAAAAAAACACGACCGGACCCTTCAACCCCATCTCTCTACTCTCTACGGCGTGCCTCGAGCCGGATCGATCCGTGAGAGCTCATGTCATGGTGAGCGTATTTTATGGGCGTTTCGACATTGGGCAGAAAGGGGGGAGAGGGGGGGTCTGGCTCTGGACCTCTGCTCAGTGCGACCGTTTGGACCCGTGCGTGCGCTGGGGGAGACCGCACCCGCTCAAAACAGGCGCCGAGAATAGCCGAGATCTACTCCAGGGGGGGGGGCGCGCCGATCGGCAAAAGAACGAATCAAAAAACAATCACCATTGCCGATCATCCCCATGACGTGTCTGCGCCAACGGCTGCCCGTGCTGAGACTTTAGGACATCCGTTGGCTTTTTGGCGTGGGAGCGTCGCGCTCTACGTGGCAAAACCCTCGAAACCCAAGAAACCCTGGAGGCAGACATGGGCCTCCACTTTGTGGGCCCCGGAAACGGCAAGGCCGTTTTTTCTCCCGTTTCCAAATTAAAATCCATTGAAAAAGGAAAAAGGGCAACAAACACGGCGACCGGAAACGGCAACAAAAACGGCTCCAGGATTGGAACCGGAGCGGGAACCCGTAAAAGAACGGCAAAACGGAACCCGTAAAGAGAACGGCGTCGGAACCGGCAAAAAAAACGGCAAAAAGGAATCGGTAACAAAACGGCCCTGTCGTTTCCAGGGCCCGCTAAGGGCCTCCACTGTGCAGTGCGCTACCACCGATCGACGTGCGAGGGGCCCCCGATTGCGACTCCGCCGCGTTCCTGGGTGGGGCGGGCCGTGGGCGAGTGGGCGACCTGGGGTCGACGCATCCCCCTGCTGCTGCTGCTGCTGCTGGCGGTCATGGTGGTCCTGTGGCCATGCAGACCTGTCCTGCCACCTCCCTGCGGCTAAGCCCGGCGGGGAGGCGGGGGCACACGGGGGCAAAGGGTGCGAAGCGAGATGTAGGCAACGAGGTGGCAGGATGACCCGACCAGCTAGGAGTGGAGCAGCGGGGCGCCTGAGCAGAACCGCCAGGGTGGCAACAGCCAGGGTAATTCAGCGGGCGAAGAACGGTATACAACAAACTTCTTCGCTGTCGGGGGCGCCTGTCCCTGGGCGGCTGGAAAGGTTATACCCCTACGGTGCCACCGCAAGGGTATAACCTTTCCAGCCGCACTGGGACAGGCGCCCCCGCGGGCGGAAAAGTTTGTCTTATACCGCTCTTCGCCCGTTAAGTCATATCGCCCCCGGCCGTCGCCCCCCCGGCGGTCGTCCCGGGCGACCGGGGCACCCCCGGAGGAGGAGGAGGAGGAGGAGGAGGAGAAGAAGGGAAGAGGAGGAGGAGGAGGAGAGAGGAGGAGGAGGAGGATGGGGAGAGGAGGAGGAGGAGGAAGAGGAGGAGGAGGACCACGAAGCGATCGAGGACGCTCGCGGCGAGGCGCGGCCGCCGGAGAGCCCCCGCGCCCCCGCAGGCGGGAGCGCCGCCGGGAGCGCCCGCAGCCTCTCCCCAGGCGCTGCCCCGGAGCGGGGGTCGAAGCCGACCCCTGGACTTGATGCCGGGCGTGTCCCTCCCTCCCTCCCTCCATCCCTCCCTCCCTCCCTCCCTCCCTCTCCCTCCCCCCTCCCTCCTCCCTCCTCCCTCCTCCCTCCTCCCTCCTCCCTCCTCCCTCCTCCCTCTCCCTCTTCCCTCCTCCTCTCTCCTCCCTCCTCCCTCCTCCCTCCTCCCTCCTCCTTCCTCCTCCTCCTGCACTTGGACGGAAAATCAGAATACCCCCAAAAGTGCCCCAAAGGAGCCCAACAAAGACTCAGGACATCGTCCCCAGACTAGGTCTTACTTCTAGTATTCCTCCCGCAGAGGGGCACGCCCGACTGAACCCTGGACCTCTCCCGGGGTGCGCTCCGACCTGGGAGCTCCGAGGCGCCTCCAGCCGTGGCCACGAGGGCGCCCCGTGACCACCGGACACGTCGCCCCGCAGACGCGGGCCCGAGACTGGGCGGGAACTCCCGCCGGGTCTCGGGCCCGCGTCTTAAAAACAGGGTCACTCTTACCCAGGGCCACTCTTACCCAGGGTCACTCTCACCCAGGGTCACTCTTACCCAGGGTCACTCATACCCAGGGTCACTCTTACCCAGGGTCACTCATACCCAGGGTCACTCTTACCCAGGGTCACTCTTCCCCAGGGTCACTCTTACCCAGGGTCACTCTCACCCAGGGTCACGCTCACCCAGGGTCACGCTCACCCAGGGTCACTCTTACCCAGGATCACTCTTACCCAGGGTCACTCTTACCCAGGGTCGCTCGTGCGTGCAGCCGAACTGAAGTAGGGGGAACGAGCAATGGCACAGACATACAAAAAACACGGAGGTCCGCGCAGGTTTCTCGGATCGGCGCTCGACCCCCCTGCCTGGCGCGCGGAGTGCGCGAAGGGCGGCGCTGGAGGCGCCGCCAGGGGGGCGCCAGCGCCGATCCGAGAGAAATCCGCGCGGTCCCCCGAGTTGTCATGTCCATGTCATTCTCCGTTCTCCTGGAACAGGGCGGAGGAACAGCTGCGGCGCCAGGAACTCTCACCGAGACAGCCCCAGAGGAGCAGAAAACACAGCGTAGACACACCTCCTCGGAGATCCGCCTGGCTTTCTTGGATCGGCGCCGACGCCCCTCCCCTCCCTGGCGCGCGGAGGGGCGCCCGGGGCGGCGCCCGGGGGTGCCCGAGCGCCGTCCAAAAAACCCGCGCGAGGCGTCGACAGACTACGGTGAGGGCGTTTTCCCCCAACCATCCTGTCGTGTTGGGTCTTTGGTTTGAAGAGACGGCGCCCCGCGTTCACTCCTCCTCCCGCTGCACCCTCTCCCTCTCATCTCCCAGCCGCGCCTCTCCTCCCATCCCTGCCTCTGTGCTTCGCATGTCCATTTCGGCACACCCCTCACGGAGTTCGTGGCCCCATCGGAAGCCCCACCCAAGGTTCCAGTGGCAGGGTCCGCATGGCGCCGCCGCCCAATTTCGGCAAACCCCTCACACGGTTCGTGGCCCCACAGGGAGCTCCACCGAAGGCCCCAGTGGCAGGGTCCGCATGGCGCCGCTGCCCTATTTCGGCACACCCCTCACACGGTTCGTGGCCCTATAGCAAGCTCCACCGAAGGCCCCAGTGGCAGGGTCCGCATGGCGCAGCCGCCCCATTCCGGCACACCCCTCACAAGGTTCGGGGCCCCATAGGGAGCTCCACCGAAGGCCCCAGTGGCAGGGTCCGCATGGCGCCGCTGCCCCATTTCGGGACACCCCTCTCACGGTTCGTGGCCCCACAGGGAGCCCCACCGAAGGCTCCAGTGGCAGGGTCCGCATGGCGCCGCCGCCCCATTTCGGCACACCCCTCACACGGTTCGTGGCCCCACAGGGAGCCCCACCGAAGGCTCCAGTGGCAGGGTCCGCATGGCGCCGCTGCCCCATTTCGGCACACCCCTCTCACGGTTCGTGGCCCCACAGCCAGCTCCACCGAAGGCTCCAGTGGCAGTGTCCGCATCCGCCTCCACCCCACAAACTTCGGCACACCCCTCACACGGTTCGTGGCCCCATAGGGCGCCCCACCGAAGATGATGTTCACAACTGCGTCACTCACAACTGCACATGGTTGGGTCCTTCGCCGGGCAAATGTGTTGGTCGACACAGCCAGGAAGGAACTGAAATTCAACGGAGAAGAAGGGAGAGAGAAAGAGAGGAGAAGGAGGGAGAAAGAAAAGGAGGAAGAGAGAGAAGGAGAAGGAGAGAAGCAAAAGGAGGGAGAAGGATAAGAAGAAAACAGAGCAGAAGGAGAGGAGAAAGAGAGGGAGGAGACAAGGAGGAATAATAATAGAAGGAGAATGAGGAGAGAATGGGGAGGCGCAGAGCACAACTCTGACGCTGAGGGCGTTGGTTTCAAGAAGCCGTGGGATACAGAAAGCAGGCGTCTGGGAGCCGATGGAACTCCAATCGTGGACGGGTCATGGACATCACTGCCGCCGGTGTACTCCAAATCCCTGATACATAAATCGACCCCCCTAAAAAAACGGACCCCTCCTCCAAATGCGACCTAATATTCCGGACCCCCCTCTTCGACGGGGCGCCTGAATTAATCGGACCCCCTAAGCTGCAATCCAAAGAAAGCGCCCTGATAAACCAGAACCCCCCCAGTTGCAAAACAGGCGCCTGAAAAAACCGGACCCAGGGAACGATTAATAAGGGATTTGGAGTAGGGTAAGGAAGCCTCCAAGGTCTGAAGCCCCTGAGCACATTCCTCAACGCACGCCCCCTGGGCACATCCATTGACTGTGGGAACCAGTACCAATACCGCTACGCCCCAGGCATCTCCTGTGGTGCGTTCTACAACCAGAAGTTCGAGGCGTATTCAGCGGTGGCGACAGAGGGCCTCCCAAGAGGCCCAAACAGGCGAAACCGAGGCAAGGGTACCGGTACGGGTGCCTCTTCCTCCTTCGCGGCGCAGCGCTCCTTAACGAACGCCCGCGCCGCATGTTTCTGCAACTTGTTGCGCTTCGAAGGCCCCCCTCCTTCCCAGCCTAGAACATTATCCCTATCCCTGTGCTGGGCATCGCCTCGTCACGATGCCAATCTCAGGGATTCCCTCAAGTTTTGTGGGCGCATCCCTAAGATTGTCATCGCCTTTTGGCGTGTCAATCTTAGGGATAGGGACAAGTTCGAAGCTGGTGGCCAGCCGGCAACGGAGCGGGCGCGCGCGTCTCCTCGCACCCCTCGACGAGCGCTCGCCACGACGCGGGGGCCGACGCCTGCCGGGCTGGGGGCGGGCGGAGGGGGGCAGAAGGGGAGGTGGGCAACCGGGGTGCGCTCGCGCCTCGTCTGACCACCCGTCCCTCCCTCCCATCTCTTCCCATGGCGCTGCCTTCTCATAATCCGCGGACGCGCGTCACAGCCAACCTGCGCCTCCCGCAGAAGGGGAAGGGGGTGGACGGTTTCCCCCGGGGCCGTAATTAGGCGACCCGAGGAGGGGAGGTCGAGGAGGGGGAGGAGGAGGAGGAGGAGGAGGAGGAGGAGGAGGAGGAGGAGGAGGAGGAGGAGGAGGAGGAGGAGGAGGAGGAGGGGGAGGAGGGATCTCTCAACCACTGAAACCCAGATCCTGAGAAACGGGAACCAGCTGCACAAGGCCGCGGGAGTTGTGCATGCCGCCGCCGCTGTTAGAGGAGTGACATTTGCTTTCGAGGCTCTCGCTTCCTCCGTTGTTTCCCCTTTCAGCTTGGGCAGGATGAAGGATCTGGTCAGACCAGACACTATGACAGGCTTCACTGCAGGAGCCAGGCTCATGTTGTGCTTTACTGGAGGATTCCACGCAGGAGGCAGTACCTGTGAGAAAGAGCTGTTGCTGCAATTGCTCTCTCCTGTCCACTCTTGTCTGCCAGACGCCCTTAACCAGTACGTCTGTGGCCCTCCTGAGGAGGCCTGGTGGGAGCCCGACAGGAGGTGGTCGTGGGCCTGACGCCCCTCCTCTCTTTCCCCCTTTCCACCTTGACCCACCGTGCTTAGATCGGCAACCATGTCACATGCCTTGAGACCCCGATTCCGATTCCGATTCCGATTCCGATTCCGAGGAGGAGGAGGAGGAGGAGGAGGAGGAGGAGGAGGAGGAGGAGGGAGGAGGAGGAGGAGGAGGAGAGAATAAGGAGGAGGGAGGAGAGGAGGAGAAGGAGGAGGAGAATGAGGAGGAGAAGGAGGAGGGGAGGAGGAGGAGAGAGGAGGAGGAGGAGGAGGAGCAGGAGGAGGAGAGGAGGGGAAGGAGAAGGAGAAGGAGGAGGAGGAGGAGGAGGAGGAGGAGGAGGAGGGGGAGGAGGAGAGGGAGGATCCAGGAGGAGGAGAAGGAGGAGAAGGGGGACCTAGCCCAGGGTGGAACGCATAGACCTGGAATCGACATCTGTTGGGTTCTCCCTCGCACAGCCTACCCAGCACGACCCCAAGAGCTTCGTCGGGAGACGGACGTGCTGGTGGCGAGCGAGGCAGGCTCTTGGCGCACGTGGTGCTGATCAACCTACGGCAATTGCCACAATTCGCGACGCAAGTTATGCACGGGTCAGCAGTGCGACGTGACGTTATTCGGAAGCACGCCGTGCGTATATCCACGTCCATTGCGGCACCCTCCACACCGCCCCTTGAGGGCCCCTGGGAGTACAGCAAGCGGATGTTCCAACTGAAGGGGTTTTGCTTTGCAGGTGTCTTCTGATGCTTCCAGTCTGGTTTTCGGCGAGATCGTATCAAAACTTCGCACTTGTGCGGCTACTGTGGCTGCCCGCCGGGCCGACCGTAGGGTTGCGTCGGGGCTTTCATGTCGGCGCTGTTTCACTGAAGGTCTTCCTCGTGCCTGCGGTGTTGGAGTTAAACCTGCTGTCAGGATGGACTTTGTGCAGTAGAGGTCGCCATCTGGACCCCACACTTTTATGTTTACCGCAGTCCGTGAGCCTGCGGCGGGATGCTCCCCTTTACTGGGACCAAGCATCGTCCCTGGGGTGTCGCACAGCCGGCTACCCGATTTGAGGGTTTGTGAGTCTCCGAGGTATAACCATCGGTCGGAAGAAGTAGGTAGAAACATGAAGTAGGAAGGCGTTGGAAATATACTGGGCTTCCGCCCGCCTCCTGAAGAGGAGGGAAGAGGGAACACCACTCGACTCTTGAAGTAGGAAGGCGCTGAAAATAGATTGGGATCTGGGAATCCAAAAATACTACTCTCAACGACCGATGGGCAATCTTGTTGGTGCAATTACTGCTCCCTTCTGCCCTCATGGTTGTGGCTTCGTGCGAGCGAACCGGCACTGCAGAGGGGACCTGGACTCGGCAGGGCAGCGCCGATGGGCTGGCGCTGGGCCCTCGCCTGCGGAGCCGCAGGGGCCTCCTCTGGGCGAGGCGCAGGCCAGCAGGCCGACCGTCGGGGGGAGGGCGGCGGGATCGGGGATCGCGGCGCACCTCCCCCCCGGGGCACAACCCCTTACTCCAGATTTCGAAATAAAGGGAGAGGGGTCTCATTTCGGGGGGGGGTCTCTTGCAGGCTATCTTGGAGGGCCTGGGGGGGGCTGGGGACGATGTTTTGGATGGTTCTCCCACGGGGGGGGGTCTGAAATGGCTTGTCTTGGAGGGTCCAGACCTCCTCCCTTTTATCACGAAATCTGGAGTACTTTTTCTGCTGCGCAGCGTTGAAAGGGAGCAGGCAGCGGCATAAACACAAAAGCTCGGGGGTCCGCGCGGGTTTCTTGGGCGGAGCCCCCCGGCGTCGCCTCCGGCGCCACCCCGGGGCGCGCTCCGAGCGCTGGGGAGGAGGGTCCAGCGCCGATCCAAGAAATCCGCTCGGACCTCCGAGCGCATGCTTGAGTCATTGCTTGTTTCCCGACATATAGAGGAAAGGAAGAAAAGGAGGAGTACGCGACCACAAGATGTCTTCTCGCCAAGGTTGGCGCCACACTGCCGACTCTAAAGATCGCCCAGCAGACCGGGAGTGTCACACGAGCCGGCCTTGTCACACGAGCCGGCCTCCATGGGCAAGCTCACGCAATGCACCGTGGCCTGAGGTAGTCAGGCAGCGATCGCGCACAGGGCGATTGCGTGGAGCAGGCAGCGGGGGATATATACACCAAAGAGGGTGGTCAAAATAAGATAACGATGAAGAAAAGTCGGTAGCATGACGATGAAGAAAACTCACTGGGAGAGCGGCTCACCAGGTTCTGTAGAGGGGCCCAGGGGCACACAAACAAATACACACAAATCCCAGGACTCCCAAGATTTTCCAATATTTCCTGGGCTTCGTCTTCCCCCCCCACTTCCCATAGATTCCCATGCTTCCTGGGAGCCGACGACTAATCCCACCAGCCCTTTGGGCGACTGGTGGTCTAACGAGGATGTCTTGTTTCTTTCACAACCTCTCTTCCCTTCGGGGAGGGAACCGTCCCCCTCCCCTCCGTTAGGTTTTTTAGGATGGGTCGCGAGGTGTCGGAGGCTTCTATTTCGGCCCCTGGGAGGGCCAATTTTCGAGACCCCTCACGAGGATCGTGGCCTTCCGGGGGGGGGGGGGGGGGGGAAAATCGAGTACCCCCCCTCCGAGTACCACCCCTCTTTTGACCGACCGCCTCCAAGATAGCCCCGAGAGGCCTTCCAGGGCTCCCAAGAGGTCCCCCAAAGCGCTCCAAGAGCCCCCCAAGAGGCCCCAAGAGGGCTCCAAGAGGCACCCGAGAGGCACCCAAGAGGCCCCCGAGCAGCCTCAGAGAGCCCAAGATGAAGGATCCAAAATGGCTCAGATAGCCCGAGCTGGCTCACGATGTCCCCCAAGATGCCCCAAGCGGCCCCAAGACCGCGCCAAGAGGGCGCGAGATGGCCACGGAGCCTCCCGAGCCCCCCTCGCTGTGTGACTGTACGTGTCTCCCCCTCTCGCCGCCCCCCGCCAACTCTCATGGGCATCGTCTTGTGATGGCATGGGGGTTTGCGACGCGTCCAGAAAGGTGCCCGTGTGCGTCTGTCCCTCCTGCTCCAAGGAGAGGTCGACCCAAGAGCGCCCATCTTAGGGCGACGGCGGCGACGGCGGCGCCCACGCGCGGGCCAGGAGTCCCAACCTTATCTCAGTCGATGCCCCCCCGGGGGGCGCGCGCTGCCGCGCGGCGGGAAGACCCCAGACGCGTGCGACTCGTTGCCGGCCCGTCGGCAGACGCGGGCAGAAAGAGAAGCGGGAAGAAGCGGGAAGAGGCAGGAAGAAGCAGGAGGAAGCAGGAGGAAGCAGGAGGAGCAGGAAGCCGCTAGAAGCAGGAAGAAGCCCAAGAAGCAGCCGTTAGAAGCAGGAAGGAGCGAGTCACGCGCCCGTCTTGTCGTCGGCGGTGCGGCAGCAGGAGCTGCTCCAGCGGGCGGCGATCCGGGGCAACGGATGCGCGCATTGGGCGGCGTGCCAGAGGGGAGCACTGGACAGACAGGGCGGCCGCGGAGGACAGGAGGATTGGAGGAGGGTCAGGGCAGGGGCCCCAGGAAACATACAAATAAATACACACAAATCAAAGGATTCCCCATATGTTCTCATACTTTCTGGGCTTCTGTCTTCCCCCCCACTTCCCATATTTTCCCATGTTCCTGGGGGTGGACGATGAATTGTGTCTGTGTGTTTTTTCTCCTCCTGGGTTAGGGCAGTCGGACGCAGAAGAATTCCAAGCTGAGTGCGCCGGCGCGGCCAGCAGCGGCAGCGGGGGCCGTGGCAGCAGCCGGGCCGCGGCGTCGGTGCACCCACGGGCGCTGCCGATGCTCAGTACGAGGTAGAGCAAGACGTAAACAAAGCAGGTATAACCATGAAGTAAGACTGCGGATCAAATAGATTGTGCTCGGGCCCGCCCGAAGAACACAACAGAGGCAAAAGGCAAGTGCCGACTCTTGGCGCCTGAAGTACACTGGGATCTGGGAGTTCAGGAGCACCTACTTCCAATGACCAGCGTGTGTCCAGCATGAGCGCATCCGCTGCACGCGGCGGGGGTCCCCGCCGCCCCCGTGCGCTGGAGGCGCCTGTGTGGCTCGCTCCAGAGGCCCCGGGCCCCAAAATACAAAAAGCATGTCTCTCGCATGGCGGCTTCCGGCTTCCGCTGGCTTACCCCCGCGGGGGGGGGGCATCTCTTCACTCCTCCTCCTCCTCCTCCTCCTCCTCCTCCTCCTCATCCTCTCCTCACTCCCCCCTCCTCCTCCTCCTCCTCCTCCTCCTCCTCCTCCTCCTCCTCCCTCGCCTCCGCGGGAGCTGACTGCTCCTCCCCTCGAAGACGAGGCCTTG